CCCCCCCCCCCCCCCCCCCCCCCCCCCCCTCTCCACCACCACTAACAACAGAAAAGGGTCGTCGACAAGAATCCCATAGTACATAACAATTTACGAATGTTTCTTTTTTTACTCCCGTAACCAATCAGAACACATTGCTTTCCTCATCTTGTTCGTTCGCGGAACCACCCATATAACTAGTTATAATGAGTGATTATGGATCCGCGGTCGTCTTATGCTACTTGCATGACATCTGCAAAAAAACAAGACTAAAGGAAACGAAAACGAGTCCAAAGGAGTCCACTTTCCTGCGGCCGAGTTGCCCCTTATAAAATTTATAGGGGCGGCTATTCGGCAGTCGCCCGAGATGAGTCGAAAAATATTCTGCCTTTGTACCACAGGAACACCAAATTAGGATGAGTTCTGACGAACGCAATAAGAGTATACACAGATCGGTCCAAAGCCGGGGTGATGGGGGCTTAGTGGAGGGCCTGCAACTGGGATAAAGTTGGTGATTACAAATAGAAGGGCTTACAACCGGAATTATACGGTATGGACCAGAGCTACTAAAAGCGACTTTTCTGTAAAAGCGACGTTCTGTCAGCGTGTGAGAGTTTGATGAAATTGGACCAAGTTTTATCTCCACATTATGGGTTAAAATAATCCAAAACGTTTTGATTTTCAGACCCACTATCCATACGAAGGAAATAACTTTAAACGGTTTCATGTTTTAATCTTTCTTGATAGGATCACTATTCTTCCTTCTGAAGAGACGTTTGCTCCAATGTTTGAGCGACTAAGAACCTTTCACCAAGAATTCATGGCGCAGTTTTAAGGACACGAACTGACAAGATGGATTTACTGGATTTAGTTTCCAGTGATGACAAGATGATATGTCTCCATCCTCCTTTTATCAGGGGAAAGTTTTCTGATGTAAAATATATGTTTGAAGAAGCAAAACTCTTGTTTACAAATTTCTATTTCTCGAGAAAGGCGAAATAGTTTTGATGAGTCTTCATTCATCTATGATTTTTCAAAGTTCTTCAATTGGCTTCCCTTCGCAGATTTGGCTACATATTATCTCTCAAAAAAAGACCCGAAAATGTTCAACAATAGTGGCAGAAAGAGTCTTGAATTTATCTGGCGAGCTGTACACAAATGTCCTTAACCACAAAACGAGGAAAAACAACATTCGTATAATCCTTTCCTAAAATTGGCGTGAAAAAGACACTTTTAATAATCTTCTGACTTTTCCCATTTTTAGGACTCTAAAGTGTGCTTTTCCCATTTCAGCGTTTTTCCCAGCCCATCCTTGTGATATTCCAGACACAGATAAGAACGTAAAGAAATCCTGTTTTTATAAAAAGCAACTTTATTGAAGTATCTTAAAATGCTGATTTTTCTAACAGAGGTATTTTACCTTCAAAACAAGTCTCATTATTAAAGTAGATATCGCGTTGTGAAATAACAAATTAAGAACTAAACAACTTCTGCGCTTAATGTACATAATGGTGATTTCATGTTCAGCGACCACAATCATAATTACTTAAACTCTAAACAAGGAAATGTAAGGGATATCTTTTCATTTTGGAAGCATACTAAACGTAACGAAAAGATAAACGAGACTACTAACCGGCTCTATATTTATATTAGTTGTAGTATTTGAAGAAATACTGTGGTTCCTGACTCATCAATGGTTTAGATTTTGTTTTCCTTTGTGTTACGGTATGGTTATCTACAATTAAGAATCAGAGTTTAAAACAAAGGAAAAAAGCATTATATTTAAACCAAGGAAGGAAAAATTGCACCACAACTGTTATTTACGGCCTTTTTATCGAACTTTAAAGGCCGCAATGATAGTATACGATCAACTACTGTTCTTTTTTTTTTTTTATGAAGATAACGAAATGATTAGTTGGTTTCCAAGTGTTAAACAAAGTACATTAAAGCGCATGAAGAGGAATATCTCGGGCATTTTGTCTTCGTTGACGTTTAAATAACAGCAGAAGAGCTTTCCTGAACTCTGGAATTCTGATTGTGTAAACGATGGGATTAACAAGCGAGTACACAAACAAAAGAATGATTAAAGAAAACTCCAAACGTTTTGATTCCCGGCGAGAAAGGAATTTTTTGATACTAGATTGAAGAAAAAAATTAACCGCATATGGCAGCCACATCAGTAAGGATACGATAGTCATTATGAATAATGTTACGGTCAGTTTCTTTTGTCTGTTGGCTGCACCATGGTGCTGGGGATGCGCTCCACACAAAAATTTAACAACAATGGAAGAGTAAGAAACACAGATAACAAATAAACACAAACAACAGTATGATATCAATACATGTTTAAACCATTTTGTTATTAACTGGTCCGCAGCCAACATTGCAGTTAAAACCCAGACACCAGCAATTGTTACCCAGTAGATCCACTTTTTGATGAGGCGATGCCTGAAGGGACGAATTGTTGCATGCATCCGATCTAATGAAATGACTGCAATGTTTGTTAGAGAGGTCAGAGGAAACCAGATGGTAAGAAATAAAATTATCCCCTTCATTTCCTGGCTTAAGTTCACTTTCACAATAACGCATGAGAATAGTGGGAATTGTTGAAATAGAAAAAAGTGAGAAAATCCTCCGACCAACATATCAGCTACGGTCAGGTTTATAACTAGGTACATGGCACGAGTGCGAAGACTGCGGTTTTTTATAAAAATAATGATTGATATAAGGTTCACTGTTACTATAGCAACGCACACGGTAAGGAATACAGCAAACCAGGTGATGCACTCGGATGAAGATAATAGCATGACTTGTTTTCTTTTACTCCTTTTCACTTCACACTTTTACCCGTTCTCTTCTGTTGTTCGTCTACCTTTAGAAAGAATTTAAATTGAATAAAGTTTGATTACTTAGAAAAGAAAAGTAGGAGGTGAACAAACAAGGTTGACGTCTGTTTTTCAAAGATCAGTAATGAAGATACATGAATAAATAATTGGACGAATTTAGAAGCTCACCTTTAACTTACAGTTTTTCAAATTACCTTCACAAAAGCTGAAGTGAAAATCCTTGTTTTCACCTGTGCAAAAAATATCAGTGACGTTTGAGGGGAGATTAGGATAAATTGGTTGACTAAAAGCTGAGGGCATCAAAATTCGTTTCAGTAGAATATTTTTAAAACTAATTAACGTCGGCGCTCGCTTACCTGAGTATAATAATAATAATAATAATAATTATTATTATTATTATTATTATTATTATTATTATTATTATTATTATTATTATTATTATGGTGGTGGTTTACTTACAGCATTGGCTCTACGTATATTATAGTATATCTAACCGATTTTTTGAAAACCAACTTAACGAAATTTGCAGTCATTTGACTGAAAAGGCGTCAAAAGGCTGGTTTCCTATAGCCCGAGAACAGCTCCAAAATCACAGTAACGAAGGAAAAAGGAAGGGAGAAAAAGAAAGAGCGACGAAGGAGATCAGGAAAGGAGGAGAAGAAAAAAAAGCAATGGTTGAACTCTTAGGTTTTATAATGAGCTACTTTGGATATAGTTTTTGGCCGAAAAAACTGTTGAACGGAAAATTAAAGGTCCATTTGACGATAACGTTTTCAAAAATCCGGCTACATATATAGCTATATATACAGCTGAACATATGTTATTACATCAGGAGCAAAAGATGTTCGTGCTAAAATGCAAAGGGTACTACTCACTAACTAGTTAACAATCAAACTAACAACAACAATCTAACTGCAGTGGCTAAAATTGTATTTCAACCTATTACATTAATACCTTTTACACATTTTTATTTCGCTCTTTAAAATATTGAAGGTCTGTTTGGTATGTAGGGAGTAATTGATCACCAAAATGAAAATGCGATTATCATTTCAGTTAACCCTTCTAAGACGATCAAATGTCCATAATGAGACCGGAAAAAAATTAAATGTTTCATGCATACTCTTCGTGAACAATTTCATTCGGTTAAAGGAGCTGAAATTTCCCGAGAAAATATGACTGAAGAAGGCCTTAAGTCGCGGCTTATTAGCTCGGACAATCCTTGTATTTTAACATTTTCCATTGCAAGTATTTTTAGGTAAGTATATATTATAGTGGGAAGGAGAGAAACATCGCTCTACATCCCGCCCACCATATCCGACGCCACCCCTCTTCAAAATTTACTCAAACCATTTAAGGATATCTCTAAGATTGTTGTTTTAAAAAGCAGCTCTGCAAATGCGTTCTAGGAAACTCTATAAAATTTGTATCTGTTTGGTCATCCTTGGGCTTCTTCAGCCGATACGAATTTATTAGCGCTTTACTTTTCGAAAATCTTTGATACTATTAAATATACAGAAAACTCAACATTTTCCGATGTACATCTTTCCGTACTTATTTTAAAGCCCAAAATTTATTATAAGAAGTCCATTTTTGCGAATGACGAGTAAATATGGGAAGACAAGTGAAAAGTGAAAATCCCATTCCCAACTTCAATCAGAGAAGAAAAACTTCGAAAAACTGAGATGAATGATACATTCATCTATGAATTTTAAACTTTTTTCGAGCTATAGAAATCTGTAGATAATATGTGCTTCTTCGAACAGCTATTTCACAGAAACCAGTCGTTGGGTGCCCTGCATGGGCTACCACATGAAAAGACTGAAGGTCCACTAGATGTGCTAAATATAGGACTTTGGTTAAACATTCGATTCTTGAGGATGATTAGTATAATAAACATTGCAGGTAAAACCTGGACAAGAGCAGCAATTGTTACCCCGTATACTCACTTTTTAATGAGGCGATGCCTAAGGGCTGTATAGGCAGGAATTGTTGCATGCATCTGATCCAATGAAATTACTGCAATATTTGTAAGAGAGGTCAGAGGAAACCAGACGAAAAGAAAGCCAGTTGTTAATGTCAGTTCCAGGGTTAAGTGCGGAAATTGCACAATGTCGCATGACTGAGAGTAAGGTTACAAATAGAGAAAAGTGGTAAAATCCTCCGACAAACATATCAACTATGGTCAGGTTTATAACTAGGTACATGGCACGAGTGCGAAGACTACGGTTTTTTATAAAAAGAATGATTGATAGAAGGTTCACTGTTACTATAGCAACAGACATGGTAACGAATACAGCGAGCCAGGTGATGCACCAGGGTGATATCATGGCTTGTTATTTTTTTCGCTTCGCACTTTTAATTCCCTTTTTCTCTCTGTTACTTGTCTACCTTTCAGAAGAATTTGAAAAATATTTCAATAAAGAACGTGGACAAAGAAGGTTGATGTTGGTTCCGCAAAGATCACTAATGGAGATACATTAGGACGCTGATCGACAGTATCGGTTGTTGGAACAAACGGTTTAGTTTTTATTCCGCATGCGTCTCTGCTGAAACAAGGGAAGTTTAATGGACGTGTTTTCCTTTTTTGTAAGCTATAAAGGTTATCATAACTGAGGGAACTCTTGATTTTGAACAGCGAATGGTCAAGGAACTTTCAGAGCTACTACTAAGGAAATATCAGTCATAGTTTTTCTACGTTGATGCAAACTATACATAAACAATTATATGAAAGAAGATCATCGCAGTTATAGACGCAACTGCAAAAGGCTTTCTTTTCCCAGCTGCAAAAGTTGCGTCTATAACTGCGATGATCTTCCTCCATATAATTCTTCACCCCTCAGTTCTGATATATGATTTTCATATATTCATAACTTTATACGTAAACAATTTCACTCGGTTAACGGAACTGAAATTTCTCATATGAAAAAATGAAGAGAACCTAAGTCGCTTTCAGCTCGGCTAATCCCTGTATTTAAACATTGCGAGCATTTATGTGTAGGCATATATAGTGAGGAGCGAGAGAAACATGGCGCTGCTTGAAACAACACACCATACACAAAGCCAGCCTTCTCAAAAATCCTCTTATAATCATTTCAGGATATCTTTTAAGATTTTTTTTAAAGTTTTGCAAATGCTTTCTAAGAAGCACTATTAAATTTTCAACTGTTTTGTAACAGTTCTAGAGCGACCTTTAGTCTATGCGAATTTAATACCTCCTTCTCATTACTGTTCCAAAAATCTTTAATGCTTTAATTTGTATATAGTTTACTGAAAACTCAAAATTTTGTGATACCTCTGTCCGTTACTGTTTCCAAGGCCAAAAATTTTAGTAGTCCTTTTTAGGAATGATGATCAAACCTGGGAAGTGAAAGGTGAAAAACGAACTTCAGAAAATCGGAGAAAAATTAATGGACTTAAAGCTTCAAAAAACTGACACGAATGGAAATTTTTTATCTTGAATTTTTTTTCTCGAGCTATAGAAATTTTCAGACAATTCCGTCTGTGCCTCTTCGAATAGCTTTTATTACAGAAAAAATTCAACCGTTGCGCCGGTCCCTACCACATGTTTGAAAAGGTCAAAAAGTCCTATGAATGTCCTAAACAGTGGTCTATTAGTGGGACTTAGGTTCAAAAAATATGCGGTTCTTAAATAAATGCTCAACTCTACGATAGAGTTGCATTTTCTTTTCTTCTTGTGTGTAACTAATCTTTCACAAAATTCTTTGCTGGATGCCTCCTCTGACGAAGTGGAAAACGAGTTTGCAAAATATCGATTAGGCTTGTAAAAGGCTTCTGCGTTGGATGTTACTCCGGCGAAGAATAACGTCCGGCTCGATTAATACGGTCTTAAATTATCTGAACACCTGTTTTGGGAAATATTGTACTTAACATAAAATACTAGAATAATTGCCTTTGCTTATCATTTCTCCCCTTAATATACGTACCGCCTTAAAAAAAGGTTCTGAATTAAACTTTCAGTTGTTAAATTGAACTTCCTCTTTCAATCAGCCCACATTAAATGGACCCTACTTGATTGGCACTCACAATGATTATATCGCCGCGCGGTCTATCATTCGAGCACTAAACGAACACGAACCGTTTCTTTAAATTGTATTTTTTTAACTTGTATATAATTAAACCTCCGTTAAAACATTATTTGATCTGTAATTGTCTGATAAAAGTATGCAAAAATGCTCACCTTAACTAAAAGTTTTTCAGTTGGTGTCAGAAAAGTTGAAGTGTAAAGCCTTGCTTTGTCCTATGGAAGAAAATATCAAAGGCGTGTGAGGAGACGTTACAATCAGTTGACTTAAAACTGAGGGCGATAATATTAATGTTTGATATATAGTTTTCAGCTGAATAATTTACTAACTGACGCCGGCGCTAGTTCACCTGAGTATAAGAATGACTGCATGACCATTTCAGCCAACCCTTTTAAGACAATCAATATTTATCCATAGTGAGAACGGGAAAAGTCGATTGCATTGTCAGTTATCTTCTACCAATTTCAAAGTCAACCGAACTTCTTGTCATGTTAGCTCCATAAATATTTTTTGTGTGACGTAGCTTGTGTCAAATGAATTTGCCACCATTTTCCTAAAAACTCGATCTTCAATGTTTTTTGTCTTGTGACTCGATCCAAAACGGGTCGCGACAAGTTCTTCCGCCAATGCAAATCAATTATACCTTACGACTTATCGAAGGAAATTAGGTCTGTCGTCTATAGTGAGCTCGACAGCAGCTTATATGGCAATATACAGTAGAACCTAGATATAACAATGGGCTAAGGGACTTGCAGAATGTGCTCGTTTTAACGAGCTTTGGATATATAAAACTTCTTTCCAAATACTTCAGTTAGTAAGAGTGCTCTGACTTATAGCTCTGAAAATGCGCGCGTTCTAAGCTCAACTTTTTCCGTTACCTCTTTCCGTTATTGTTTCAGAAAGCCGAAAATTCCAGTA